AACAGTGGGTTTGGCACGGTTGAAACCGGGAGTCGGAAGGGTGTCCTTTTCTGTGTCAAGTGAAACTGTGTTTCAGTGTTTTCTGTGGGGCGCCGGTTAATCCCTTTTAATTTTCATTTGGAAGTCGTTTGAGATTTGGGGGTGGGTTTCTGTCGGGATTTTTAAAGGGGGGACAGGATTCAAAAAAGGGAAAAGGAAAAAGTGTGTTTTTGGAATTTTTGTTTGCTCAGTCAAAGTTAGTTTTTGGTAAAAGGGGGAAAAACAGGGTAAAAGGGGGGGGGAAACAGCCCTTTTTACTATTTTTTAATGGGATGGTCTCTGCGGGGCCTTGGTGGTTTTTGAGTTTTTAAAATGATAAAAAGTGTGGGAAATTTTTCAAGAAAATGGTGTTTTGGGGGGGCGTCTGTATAGTGAGGAAATTTGTCGGATATACGGTTTGATTTGGTGGGTTTTGGGTTTATTGTGAGTGTGGTGTTTTTTTTGTAACAGGGGTTAGAGGAAAAGGGTGGTAGCGTACGGGGAAATTTTGAATCGTGTATTTTATTTTAAGGGGGGGGGGGGTGGGGTGAGGTTTTTAATAGATGAGGAGGTCCCATTAAAGAAAGACAAAAAGTCAAAAAAGTCTCTCTCTCTCCTCTCTCCTCTTTCTTTCTTTGTCTTTCTCTTTTATCTTTTTTCTCTCTCTATTTCTCTCTTTCTTTTCTTCTTATTTTTTTCTCTCCCTATTTTTCTCTAATGCTCTTAATTTTACTTTTTTTTGTAAATGTTTTTGTCTTCTGTTGTTTTTTTTTTCTTTTGTATCTTCTTTATCTTCTTTCTTGTCATCTTGTTCTCTTTTTTTTTCCCCCTTTCTTTCTTCTTCCTTCTATTCATTAAATTTTTTTTGTAAAGTTCGTCTTTTCTTGTTCTCTTTTGTTCCTTTCTCTCTCGTTCTCTCTGTTTTTTTTCCCTTCTTCTCTTCTTTTCCCCTTTCCCTCTCCTTATTATCTCTTCTCTTCTATATCTTTTCTCTCTTCTTGTTCTGTTTTTTTCTGTTTTTCTCTCTTCATCTCTTCCTTTATCTCTTTTTTTTCTGTCTTTTACTTTTACATTTTTTGTAAATTTTCCGTCTCTCGCTTCTTTCTTTTGTCTCTCTTCTCTCTCTTCTTCTTTCTTTTTTCTCTCTTTCTTCTCTCTTTTCTATTTTCTTTCCCCCTTCTCTCTCTCTTTTTTTTCTCTTTTTTCTTTACATTTAATTTTTTTTTGTAAATGTTTGTTTTCGCTTGCCTCTCTTTTGTCTCTCTCTTCTCTCTCTATGTTTTCGTTTTTGTCCTCTCGCTCTCTCTCTCTCTCTTTCCTCTCTCTCTCTCCCCCTTCTTCTGTTTTTAAATTTTTAATTTTTTTTGAAATTTTCGTTCCCCTTTTTGTTTTTTCTTTGGGTTTTCCTCTCTCCCCCTTTTTGTCTCTTTGTTCTCGGCGGGGGGGGGGCCCCCCCCCCCCCCCCCCCCCCCCCCCCCCCTCTCTTTTCTCTATGTTCGCTCTTCCTATGCCAGTGGGTTTGATGGTGGACGCCCCTTATGCAACTCTATGGAACATGAACCCTGTGTGTTCAGGCTCGAGTGGGAGGGAATTTCCCCAAATGACAAGTGAAATGTGTCTTCTTTTAAATTTAGGATCCCCCTAAGAGTACAGACGGGTTTTTGTTCTCTGCAGGTTTCCTGGCCGGTGGGGAAGTCCTCGATGTTTCCCCGGACACTGGGTGGTGTCTGGCCCCCTCCCTGCCTGAGAGGGGACGACAAACGAGGTGAACAGAAACAGGTCCTCCCCTACCTGTCCTCCTGTACTGTCCCTCGTCCCCATTACCCCTTTTTCTGTTACTGTCATTTTCGCTGTTAACCGTCCCCTGTTATCCCGTCCCCCCGTCCTGTTTCCGTCCCCTTTATAGTCCCTCTGTCTCCTTTCCCCCGTTTTCAGTTACCCTGTCTTCAGTTACCTGTTTCCTTTATCCGTCACTTGTCCTGCGTTAACCGTCCTCCTGTATCCGTCCCTCTGTCCTCCGTTACCCCGCTTCATGTTACCTGTCTTTTTGTTATCAGTCTCCTTCTTGTCCCTGTCCCCCCGTTACCGTTTCCCGTCCTCGTTTTCCCGTCCCCCTTTTTTCAGTCCCTTGTCCTCCCGTTACCCTGTCCCCCTGTCCTTGTTTCAGTCCCTAGTCCTCGTACCCTGTCTCTGTTATCCGCCTCTTCTCGTTTTTGTTCCTCCCGTCCCCTGTCCTCCTGTCTCCTGTTATCATGTCCTCTGTTTGTTTCCGGGGCCCTGTTATCCTGTCCCTTGTCCTCCTGTTTCCCTGTCCCTGTTCCCGTTACATGTCCCTTGTCCTCCGTTACCCCGTCCCCCTGTTTCCGTCCCCCGTTATCTTTTTTAATGTCCCCCGTCCTCCCGTTAAACCCCGTTATCCTGCTCCGTTATTTTTTACCCGTCCCCCTTTTCCCCCCTGTTACCCTGTCCCCCTTTTTACTGTTTTTTATTGTTTCCCGTCCCCCCCTTTTTGTTACCTGTCCTCGTTACCTGTCCTCCTGTCCTCCTGTTATCCTGTCCCTCTGTCCTCCTGTTACCCTGTCTTCCTGTTACCATGGCCCTCTGTTCTCTTGTTTTCCTGTCCCTTTGTTCTCCTGTTCCCCTTTCCTCTTATTAACCTGTCCTCCTGTTATCCTGTCCTCCTGTTATCTTGTCCTCCTGTTATCCTGTCCTCCTGTTACCCTGTTCTCCTGTTATCTTGTCCTCCTGTTATCCTGTCCCTCTGTCCTCCTATTAACCTGTCCTCCTGTTATCCTATCCTCCTGGTACCATGTCCCTCTGTTCGCTTGTTTTCCTGTCCCTCTGTCCTCATGTTACCCCGTCCTCCTGTTACCCTGTTCTCCTGTCCCTCTCTTCCCCTGTTACCCTGTCTCCTGTTATGCTGTCCTCCTGTTACCATGTCCTCTTGTTATCTTGTCCTCCTGTTATCTTGCTACCCTGTCCTCCTCTTACCCTGTCCTCCTGTTATCCTGTCCCTCTGTCCTCCTGTTACCCTGTCCTCCTGTTATCATGTCCCTCTGTCCTCCTGTTATCCTGTCCTCCTGTTATCTTGCTACCCTGTCCTCCTGTTTTCCTGTCCCTCTGTCCTCCTGTTATTTTTTTCTGTCCTGTTATCTTGTCCTCCTGTTATCCTGTCCTCCTGTTACCCTGTCCTCCTGTTACCCTGTCCTCCTGTTACCCTGTCTTCCTGTCCTCCTGTTACTCTGTCCTCCTGTTACCCTGTCCTCCTGTTAACCTGTCCTCCTGTTACCGTGTCCCTCTGTCTTCTTGTTTTCCTGTCCCTCTGTCCTCCTGTTCCCCTGTCCTCCTGTTAACCTGTGCTCCTGTTATCTTGTTACCTACTCCACCCCTTCTCTGTAGCACCGCCCACTATGAAGGAGGAGCTGTGTGTAGCCAGGCCCGTTCGCTATGGCGACTGGAGCCTCTGAGAATCAGGTTAGTGGCTCTTCTGTCTGTTCCCCATGACTCCAATTCACTACTTATAGGGATTCTTCTGGATTTGTGGCAATAAAGCCCTTTATCTACTTCCCCAGAGTCATGCCTCTGCGTGCAGTTTGAAGGAAGTTGTTAAGTAGTGTCAAGCCAATTGCTAACTACCTTTAGCACAATGACTGGAAGTCAATGGTAACTGCTAGCATGCTAGTAGATACCGTAGACTTCCAGTTATTGCACTAACTCTAGTTAGCATTTGGCTTTGGAAACGACCTCTAACTTCCTTCATACTGGATGCAGAGACATAACGATGGTATCCACGAGTTCATCTGAAGTAAATAAATGTCCCAAAGTATCCCTTTAATTTATTAACCATGCATAGACGTGTTGAGCCTTCCTGCGCGTTTGAAAGGTACAGTATGCAAAGTCTCAATGCAAAGGCAAAAAAATGAAAAATGCTTAAGGCTGTTAACAGGTGTCAGTGTGCTTCAAATTTCCTCCAAATAAAGCACGAATCCATGCAGTAACATGTTGAGGCTAAGTGTGTCTCACGTCCCCCCCCCCCCTCCGATAGCTGGAGCGGCAGCCACATGAAGTGGGGCCAGTCGTTCCGTGTACGCCACATCACCACGGGCCGCTACCTCTGTCTGGACGAGGAGAAGGGCCTGATGGTCCTCGACCCTGAGAGGGCCAATACCAAACTGTCTGCTTTCAGCTTCCGCGTGTCAAAGGTCAGATACCCTCAATGTTACCCTGTTATCAGTGTTCTGGTCGTGGCTCCAGTTGTTTTAGCGTTGTCTGTTACTGTAAACTCAGAACTAATGGTCATAACTAGGGAGTTTCCCTTGACCACGTGACCTGACCAGGCAAAACTCTGGGTCTTCATTGGCCAGGTGACAGATCAGAACTCAGGGACCTAGTCGTAGCCTATAATGCTCTCTCTCATATTTTCTTCTTCTTCTTCTTCTTCTTCTTCTTCTTCTCTTCCCATACTGTTTCCCTTGAGCAGGAGAAGGTGGAACAGGCCCGTAAGCGAGACGTGGAGGGAATGGGCATCCCAGAGATCAAGTATGGAGAGTCCATGTGTTTTGTCCAGCACGTCTCCACCAGCCTGTGGCTCACCTATGCCTCCTTGGACGCTAAGGCTGCTCGCCTGGGGACCATGAAGAGGAAGGTAGGGGCTGGGTTTAGCTTTATTTAACATATAGAAATATAACCCTAACCCTGGGGAAAAGAAAGGTAGGGTTTAGGTGTAGGTTTATTTAAAGGTATAGTTTGAAATTTTGTCAAGTAAGCCCTTTTTTCTACTAACCCAGAGTCAGGTGAAGTCATGAATACCATTTTTATGTCTCGTCGTGCCGTTTGAAGCAAGTTGCTAACTAGCGTTAGAGCAAAGACTAGAAGTCTACGGGATTAGCTAGCATTAGCGCAATCAGCTAGCTGATTCCATAGACTTCCAGTCATTATGCTAGCTCTAGTTAGCAATGTCTACAGAAACTACCTTCGACTTCCTTCAAAATTCATGCAGAGACAAAAATGGTATCTATGAGTTCATCTGACGCTGGGTAAATGGCTTAATTGACAAAATCTTAAACTATCCCTTTAACATACAGAAATATCCCCTGGGGAAAAGGAAGGTTCATTCAACATGTACATATATAGAAACATAACCCTAACCCTGGGGCCCATGAAGAGAAAGGTGCGGTCTGGTGCAGTTACCGTTGAATGCTCCTGCATATGCATACTTTATTGCACTCATTTGTTGCCTCTGTGATAATAAACCAGGCTTCCAGGCTTCCAGGCTTCCAGGCTTCCACACCAGCTGATGTTGAATGCTGGGCTAAACCTCCATTTCCAGGCTTCCACACCAGCCAATGTTGGATGCTGGGCGTGTGTACAGTACTTGATGGAGAACTGGTGCATTGTCTTTCAGTGTTGGTTCTCAATGCTGTCCCTTTCTCTTGTCCTCAGGCCATTCTGCACCAGGAGGGCCACATGGACGATGCCCTGTCTGTGGCCCGGTCCCAGACGGAGGAGTCTCAGGCTGCTAGGATGATCTTCAGCACCACGGGGCTCTTCAGGCAGTTCATCAAGTACGACCACCACACACACACACACACGCACGCACGCACGCACGCACACACACACGCAAGCACACACACACACTCACGCACGCACGCGCACACACACACACGCACGCACGCACGCACACACACACACACACGCAAGCACACGCAAGCACGCACACGCACACACGCACACACATGCAAGCACACACACGCACGCACACACACACACGCACAAACGCACGCACACACGGACACACGCAAGCACACACACACACACACACACGCACGCACGCACGCACGCACGCGCACACACAAACGCACACACACACGCAAGCACACACACGCAAGCACACACGCACGCACACACACACACACACGCACAAACGCATGCACACACACACACACACACACACGCACAAACGCACGCACAAACGCACGCACACACACACACACAAGCACACACACTGTTGTATGCTCTTGTATAGTTCTTTGGACGTTTCCACTGGAAGGTTTTTGTCAGGCCGACAAACAGTGTGCATACATTTCTAGTATTTTCATGATATTTTTGTACCCTGCAGGGATAATTGTTGGATGTACTTTTGACCTTATGTCTGTGTGTTGTTCTGTCCCAGGGGTCTGGACTCCCTGCAGGGGAAGAATAAGTCTCCCGGCCCTGTGTCTCTACCCCTGGATGGGGTAGTGCTCTCCCTGCAGGATCTTATCTTCTACTTCCGACCCCCCGAAGAAGAGCTGGAACACGAAGAGAAACAGACCAAGCTCCGCTCCCTCCGCAACCGACAGAACCTCTTCCAAGAGGAGGTCAGTATCAATAACCTTTTCAGATTTAAAGTCGACAGAGTACCTTCATCCTCTTAAATGTCCTTGAGGTGTTTGGCTTCAACTCGACTGAAGCGCTGTCCATTCACCTCCTGAAGAGTAGATTCACCATGGACTACGGTGTGTTTATATATGTACTATGGTGTGTTTATATATGAATGTGGTTGTGGATCAAAAGTACTTGAAACCACTACACTCAGGACTGGTTGATGTTATGGATCGTGATCGCTGTGGGTATATGAACTAACCCTATGACCACGTGGCTATATGAACTAACCCTATGACCACGTGGCTATATGAACTAACCCTATGACCACGTGGCTATATGATCTAACCCTATGACCACATGGCTATATGAACTAATCTTATGACCACGTGGGTATATGTTCTAAGCCTATGACCACGTGGGTATATGAACTAACCCTATGACCACGTGGGTATATGATCTAACCCTATGACCACGTGGGTATAGGATCTAACCCTATGTGTGTCGACCTCTCCATCAGGGTATGATCACCATCGTGCTAGAGTGTATCGACCGTCTGAATGTTTACAACACTGCTGCTCACTTCTCTGAGTTTGCTGGAGAGGAGGCCGCTGAGTCCTGGAAGGAGATCGTCAACCTGCTTTATGAGCTGCTGGGTATGACTAAGAGTTTTCTTTCACAGAAATGTGTCTTCTGCTTTATCCCGCTGTTTATCAGCTTAGAATAGATCAGATTGGAACACGTTTGAGGAAATTCATTGTGGAGCAAAACAATATACATACTAAAGCACAAAACATTGAATCACTCATATTTTAAGAAAGATACCAAAAAAATGCATGAGGAGGTGGAGGCATGCTGAATACTGTTGATGTTGATGATTCAACATATCTCTCCCTCCCTCTCAGCCTCTCTGATCAGAGGAGGTGTAGGCATTCTGAATAATGTTGATGTTGATGATTCAACATACACTATATGTCCGAAAGTATGTGGACAACCCCTTCAAATTAGTGGATTCGGCTATTGCAGCCACACCCGTTGCTGACAGGTGTATAAAATCGAGCACACAGCCATGCAATCTCCATAGACAAACATTGCCAGTAGACTGGTTTTACTGAAGAGCTTCAACGTGGCACCGTCATAGGATGGTACCTTTCCAACAAGTCAGTTTGTCAAATTTCTACCCCGGCCAACTGTAAATGCTGTTATTGTGAAGTGTAAACATCTAGGAGCAACAACGGCTCAGCTGCGTGGTGGTAGGCCACACAAACTCACAGAACGGGACGCCGAGTGCTGTAGCGCATAGCGCGTAAAAATCGTCTGTCTTCGGTTGCAACACTCACTACCAAGTTCCAAACTGCCAAACTGCCTCTGGAAGCAACATCAGCACAAAAACTGTTAGTCGGGAGCTTCATGAAATGGGTTTCCATGGCCGAGCAGCCGAGCAGCCGCACACAAGCCTAAGATCACCATGCGCAATGCCAAGCGTCGGCTGGAGTGGTGTAAAGCTCGCCGCCATTGGACTCTGGAGCAGTGGAAACTCTCTGGAGTGATTAATCACCCTTCAACATCTGGCAGTCCGACGGACGAATCTGGGTTTGGTGGATGCCAGGAGAACGCTACCGTCCCGAATTCATAGTGCCAACTGTAAAGTTTGGTGGAGGAGGAATAATGGTCTGGGGCTGTTTTTCATCGTTGGGGCTAGGCCCCTTAGTTCCAGTGAAGGGAAATCTTAACTCTACAGCATACAATGACATTCTAGACGATTCTGTGCTTCCAACTTTGTGGCAACAGTTTGGGGAAGGCCCTTTCCTGTTTCAGCATGACAATGCCCCCGTACACAAAGCGAGGTCCATACAGAAATGGTTTGTCAAGATTGGTGTGGAAGAACTTGACTGGCCCGCACAGAGCCCTGACCTCAACCCCATCGATCACCTTTGGGATGAATTGGAACGCCGACCGCGAGCCAGGCCTAATCGCCCAACATCAGTGCCCGACCTCACTAGTGCTCTTGTGGCTGAATGGAAGCAAGTCCCTCCGCAGCAATGTTCCAACATCTAGCGGAAAGCCTTCCCAGAAGAGTGGAGGCTGTTATAGCAGCAAAGGGGGGACCAACTCCATATTAATGCCCATGATTTTGGAACGAGATGTTGGACGAGCAGGTGTCCACATACTTTTGGTCATGCAGTGTATATCCATCCATCCATATCTATCTACATATACAGATGTCCACATACTTTTGGTCACGTAGTGTATCTCTCCCTCTCCTCCCTCCCAGCTTCTCTGATCAGGGGGAACCGCTCTAACTGTGCGCTGTTCTGTGATAACCTGGACTGGCTGGTCAGCAAACTGGACCGGCTGGAGGCCTCTTCAGGTACGTAAGAGTTCTGCTCAATGCCACCCACCATGGCTAGGTTGCAGGAGTTTTTTTCCTGGTTTAGGCTATGTAGTTACTCATTAGGGAAAATCTCAGGGCGCTACCCATTTCATATCTGATTTGAACGTTTCTTTCAGCACAGGACTGCATTCATCATCCATTTTCTCTCCCTGTCTCCAGGTATCTTGGAGGTGCTGCACTGTGTCCTGATTGAGAGTCCAGAGGTTCTGAACATCATTCAAGAGAACCACATCAAATCCATCATCTCTCTGCTGGACAAACATGGCAGAAACCACAAGGTCAGTGATGTCTGCGGGGATGTTTCGACGTTTGCACATCTGTAGGGTCTGGATAGGTGTAAGCAGTGTAGTGGTGGAACTTCCATCATATAGCTGCCACCTTTAAATATCTGCAAACATCTAATGGTCAAGGTGCCAAGGGGAAAGGGGTAGGGAGTGAATCGGGACCAGCTGAGTTACTTTCCAGTTTGAAACCCACACTTCCTTGACTTTCATCACATTTCCCTGGCTCTGTCTATCTTTCCCGTAGGTGTTGGACGTCCTCCGGTCCCTTTGTGTGTGTAACGGTGTCGCTGTAAGGTCCAATCAGAACCTCATCACAGAGAATCTATTTCCAGGTCGCGACCTCCTGCTGCAGACTAACATCGTCAACTACGTAACCAGGTAATATATAATATATACTGTATATACAGTGCCTTCAGAAAGCATTCATACCCCTTGACTTATTCCACATTTCGTTGTTCAAAATTGATCCATCTACACACAATACCCCACAATGACAAGGTGAAAACATGTTTTTAGTAGTTTTTTTTGCAGTTTTACTGGAAATGATTCACACCCCTGAGTCAATAGATGTTAGAATCACCTTTGGCAGCGATTACAGCTGTGAGTCTTTCTGGGTAAGTCTCTAAGACCTTTGCACACCTGGATTGTACAATATTTGCACATTATTCTTCAAACTCTGTCAAGATGGTTGTTGATCATTACTAGACAGACATTTTCAGGTCTTGCCATAGATTTTCAAGCCGATGTAAGTAAAAACTGTAACTCGGCCACTCAGGAATATTCAATGCCATCTTAGTAAGCAACTCCAGTGTAGATTTGGCCTTGTGTTTTAGGTTATTGTCCTGCTGAAAGGACAATTTGTCTCCCAGTGTCTGTTGGAAAGCAGACTGAACCAGGTTTTCCTCTAGGATTTTGCCTGTGCTTAGCTCTATTCTATTTATTTTTATTTGTTTTAACTCCTGTAGTCCGATGACAAGCATACCCATAACATGACGCAGCCAGCACCATGCTTGACAGTATGAAGAGTGGTACTCAGTGATGTGTTGGATTTGGCCCAAACATAAAGGAAATTCCTTTGCCCATTTTTTGGCAGTTTTACTTTAGTGCCTTATTGCAAACAGGATGCATGTTTTGGAATATGTTTATTCTGTACAGGCTTCCTTCTTTTCACTCTGTCGTTTAGGTTAGTATTGTGGAGTAACTACAATGTTGTTGATCCCTCCTTAGTTTTCTTCTATCACAGCCATTAAACTCTGAAACTGTTTTAAAGTCACCATTGGCCTCAGGGTGAAATCCCTGAGCAGTTTCCTTCCTCTCTGGCAACTGAGTTAGCAAAGATGCCTGTATATTTGTAGTGACTGGGTGTATTGATACACCATCCAAAGTGTAATTAATAACTTCACCATGCTCAAAGGGATATTCCATGTCTGTTTAAATTTTTTTTTTTACCAATCTACCAATAGGTGCCCTTCTTTGCGAGCCATTGGAAAACCTCCCTGGTCTTTGTGGTTTAATCTGGGTTTGAAATTCACTGCTCGACTGAGGGACCTCACAGATAATTGTATGTGTGGGGTACAGATATGAGGTAGTCATTCAAAAATCATGTTAAACACTATTATTGCACACAGAGTCCATGCAACTTATTATGTGACTTGTTAACGTCTACGGGATCGGTGTCCCGTATACGGGACGTTCGAGCTAACGTGCGCTAATCTGATTAGCATGACTGTTGTAAGTAACAGCAAACTTGCCAGTCTTATATAGGTAAATGTTGTGAAATTGTTAGATATGACTTGCTAGAAGCACAAGCATTTCGCTACACCCGCTATAACATCTGCTAAACATGTGTATGTGACAAATAAAATTGGATTTGATTTGATATGGGCAGAAAGCTTAAATTCTTGTTAATCTAACTGCACTGTCCAATTTACAGTAGCTATTACAGTGAAAAAATACCATGCAATTGTTTGAGGAGAGTGCACAACAACAAAAAACTTATCACGGCAACTGGTTTGATACATTCACCTCTGAAGGTAAATAATGTACTTACATTCAGTAATCTTGCTCTGATTTGTCATCCTAAGGGTCCCAGAGATAAAATGTAGCATAGTTTTGTTTGATAAAATCCATTTTTATATTCAAATGTAGGAACTGGTTTCTACATTTTGAACCCCTGCTGTCTCTGGCTCCACACCCACCCCGCCCGGCCATCTAGATGTGTGAAAGTTAGTGTATAAGCTAATGATCAAATCAAATCAAATCAAATTTTATTGGCCACATGCGCCGAATACAACAGGTGCAGACATTACAGTGAAATGCTTACTTACAGCCCTTAACCAACAGTGCATTTCTTTTTAACAAAAAAAGTAAAAATAAAACAACAACAAAAAAAGTGTTGAGAAAAAAAGAGCAGAAGTAAAATAAAATAACAGTAGGGAGGCTATATATACAGGGGGGTACCGGTGCAGAGTCAATGTGCGGGGGCACCGGCTAGTTGAGGTAGTTGAAGTAATATGTACATGTGGGTAGAGTTAAAGTGACTATGCATAAATAATTAACAGAGTAGCAGTAGCGTAAAAGGATGGGGTGGGGGGGCAGTACAAATAGTCCGGGTAGCCATGATTAGCTGTTCAGGAGTCGTATGGCTTGGGGATAGAAGCTGTTGAGAAGTCTTTTGGACCTAGACTTGGCACTCCGGTACCGCTTGCCGTGCGGTAGCAGAGAGAACAGTCTATGACTAGGGTGGCTGGAGTCTTTGACAATTTTGAGGGCCTTCCTCTGACACCGCCTGGTATAGAGGTCCTGGATGGCAGGAAGCTTGGCCCCAGTGATGTACTGGGCCGTACGCACTACCCTCTGTAGTGCCTTGCGGTCGGAGGCCAAGTAGTTGCCATACCAGGTGGTGATGCAACCTGTCAGGATGCTCTCGATGGTGCAGCTGTAGAATTCTTTGAGGATCTGAGGACCCATGCCAAATCTTTTCAGTCTCCTGAGGGGGAATAGGCTTTGTCGTGCCCTCTTCACGACTGTCTTGGTGTGTTTGGACCATGATAGTTCGTTGGTGATGTGGACACCAAGGAACTTGAAGCTCTCAACCTGTTCCACTACAGCCCCGTCGATGAGAATGGGGGCGTGCTCAGTCCTCTTTTTTTTCCTGTAGTCCACAATCATCTCCTTTGTCTTGGTCACGTTGATGGAGAGGTTGTTGTCCTGGCACCACATGGCCAGGTCTCTGACCTCCTCCCTATAGGCTGTCTCATCGTTGTCGGTGATCAAGCCTACCACTGTTGTGTCGTCGGCAAACTTAATGATGGTGTTGGAGTCGTGCCTGGCCATGCAGTCATGGGTGAACAGGGAGTACAGGAGGGGACTGAGCACGCACCCCTGAGGGGCCCCCGTGTTGAGGATCAGTGTGGCAGATGTGTTGTTACCTACCCTTACCACCTGGGGGCGGTCCGTCAGGAAGTCCAGGATCCAGTTGCAGAGGGAGGTGTTTAGTCCCAGGATCCTTAGCTTAGTGATGAGCTTAGAGGGCACTATGGTGTTGAATGCTGAGCTGTAGTCAATGAATAGCATTCTCACGTAGGTGTTCCTCTTGTCCAGGTGGGAAAGGGCAGTGTGGAGTGCAATAGAGATTGCATCATCTGTGGCTCTGTTGGGGCGGTATGCAAATTGGAGTGGGTCTAGGGTTTCTGGGATAATGCTGTTGATGTGAGCCATGACCAGCCTTTCAAAGCACTTCATGGCTACAGACGTCAGTGCTACGGGTCGGTAGTCATTTAGGGAGGTTATCTTAGAGTCCTTGGGCACGGGGACTATGGTGGTCTGCTTGAAACATGTTGGTATTACAGACTCAGTCAGGGACATGTTGAAAATGTCAGTGAAGACACTTGCCAGTTGGTCAGCACATGCTCGGAGTACACGTCCTGGTAATCCGTCTGGCCCTGCGGCCTTGTGAATGTTGACCTGCTTAAAAGTCTTACTCACATCGGCTACGGAGATCGTGATCACATAGTCATCCGGAACAGCTGGTGCTCTCATGCATGCTTCAGTGTTGCTTGCCTCGAAGCGAGCATAGAAGTGGTTTAGCTCGTCTGGTAGGCTTGTGTCACTGGGCAGCTCGCGGCACAATCCTGAGAGTGTGTAAACTTACATTTTGTATTACCATATCATTTTTGTATGTTCTCTATAGTTATGTACTTGAAAATGTATCAATTGACCAATTCGGCACATTTGGGCAGACTTGATACAAAATAGTCCAGTATTGCAATGCTTCACTGGATCAATCTGAAACTTTGCACACACACTGCTGCCATCTAGTGGCATTTGTTGTTGTTGCCTAAACTGCAATATTATATTGTGGCCTTTCTCTTGCATTTCGAAGATGATAAAATTTTTGTTTATAGAGAACGCATGTTTTTTTGTTTGTATTATCTTTTACCAGATCTAATCTGTTATATTCTCCTACATTAATTTCAAATTTCCTTTCAAAGTGTTTCCTTTCAAATGGTATCAAGAATATGCATATCCTTGCTTCAGGTCCTGACCTACAGGCAGTTAGATTTGGGTATGTCATTTTAGGCGAAAATTGGAAAAAAGGGTCAGATCCTTAAGAGGTTAATTAAGCACATTTTTACTCCTGAACTTATATAGGCTTGCCATAACAAAGGGGTTGAATGCTTATTGACCCAATACATTTGTGACCCACCACCTGGATTCGGTCCTATCTAGCAAAATGTGAATAACATTTTTTTTACATTAGATAAAAGTAGAGACTCAGAGCTAGAAATTGGTATATCATACACTGCAGTTGAGGAACAATGGGAAAGTAATTCTGCTTTGAAAGTTGATAAACGTGTAAGCCCACTTTTGAGAAAATGGCCCTTGAATGTTTTGGTATCTACTGGAGAGCTCTTCTTTGTCTACACCCATTCAACATTGTTCACACCCTCTTAAGCCTTAGCCCCACCCATCTCTTTAAGGATTCACATGTGAGGCCATGTGCTAAACAGAGTGACTAGTGTAGTAAACAACCAAAGATTTCAAGACTAAAAGTAGTATATTCTATTCTGTTCCTGTTCTATCCCATTCTATTCTATTCTGTTCCTGTTCTATCCCATTCTATTCTATTCTGTTCCTGTTCTATCCCATTCTATTCTATTATGTTCCTGTTCTATCCCATTCTATTCTATTCTGTTCCTGTTCTATCCCATTCTATTCTATTCTGTTCCTGTTTTATCCCATTATATTATATTATGTTCCTGTTCTATCCCATTCTATTCTATTCTGTTCCTGTTTTATCCCATTCTATTCTATTCTGTTCCTGTTCTATTCCATTATATTCTATTCTGTTCCTGTTTTATCCCATTATATTATATTCTGTTCCTGTTCTATCCCATTCTATTCTATTCTGTTCCTGTTCTATCCCATTCTATTCTATTCTGTTCCTGTTTTATCCCATTATATTCTATTCTGTTCCTGTTTTATCCCATTCTATTCTATTCTGTTCCTGTTCTATTCCATTATATTCTATTCTGTTCCTGTTCTATTCCATTATATTCTATTCTGTTCCTGTTCTATTCCATTATATTCTATTCTGTTCCTGTTCTATTCCATTATATTCTATTCTGTTCCTGTTTTATCCCATTCTATTCTATTCTGTTCCTGTTCTATCCCATTCTATTCTATTCTGTTCCTGTTCTATCCCATTCTATTATATTCTGTTCCTGTTCTATTCCATTATATTCTATTCTGTTCCTGTTCTATTCCATTATATTCTATTCTGTTCCTGTTTTATCCCATTCTATTCTATTCTGTTCCTGTTCTATCCCATTATATTATATTCTGTTCCTGTTCTATCCCATTCTATTCTATTGTGTTCCTGTTCTATTCCATTATATTCTATTCTGTTCCTGTTCTATCCCATTCTATTCTATTATGTTCCTGTTCTATTCCATTATATTCTATTCTGTTCCTGTTCTATCCCATTCTATTCTATTCTGTTCCTGTTCTATCCCATTCTATTCTATTCTGTTCCTGTTCTATCCCATTATATTCTATTCTGTTCCTGTTCTATCCAATTCTATTCTATTCTGTTCCTGTTTTATCCCATTCTATTCTATTCTGTTCCTGTTATATCCCATTCTATTCTGTTCCTGTTCTATCCCATTCTATTCTATTCTGTTCCTGTTCTATTCCATTATATTATATTCTGTTCCTGTTCTATTCCATTATATTCTATTCTTGTTCTATTCCATTATATTATATTCTGTTCCTGTTCTATCCCATTCTATTCTGTTCCTGTTTTATCCCATTCTATTCTATTCTGTTCCTGTTCTATCCAATTCTATTCTATTCTGTTCCTGTTTTATCCCATTCTATTCTATTCTGTTCCTGTTATATCCCATTCTATTCTGTTCCTGTTCTATCCCATTCTATTCTATTCTGTTCCTGTTCTATTCCATTATATTATATTCTGTTCCTGTTCTATTCCATTATATTCTATTCTTGTTCTATTCCATTATATTCTATTCTGTTCCTGTTCTATTCCATTATATTCTATTCTGTTCCTGTTTTATCCCATTCTATTATATTCTGTTCCTGTTCTATCCCATTCTATTCTATTCTGTTCCTGTTCTATCCCATTCTATTCTATTCTGTTCCTGTTCTATCCCATTCTATTCTATTCTGTTCCTGTTCTATCCCATTCTATTCTATTCTGTTCCTGTTCTATCCCATTCTATTCTATTCTGTTCCTGTTCTATCCCATTATATTCTGTTCCTGTTCTATCCCATTCTATTCTATTCTGTTCCTGTTTTATCCCATTCTATTCTATTCTGTTCCTGTTTTATCCCATTCTATTCTATTCTGTTCCTGTTCTATCCCATTCTATTATATTATGTTCCTGTTCTATCCCATTCTATTCTATTCTGTTCCTGTTTTATCCCATTCTATTCTATTATGTTCCTGTTCTATCCCATTCTATTCTATTCTGTTCCTGTTCTATCCCATTCTATTCTATTCTGTTCCTGTTCTATCCCATTCTATTCTATTCTGTTCCTGTTCTATCCCATTCTATTCTATTCTGTTCCTGTTCTATCCCATTCTATTCTATTCTGTTCTTGTTCTATTCCATTCTATTCTATTCTGTTCCTGTTTTATCCCATTCTATTCTATTCTGTTCCTGTTTTATCCCATTCTATTCTATTCTGTTCCTGTTTTATCCCATTCTATTCTATTCTGTTCCTGTTTTTCCCATTCTATTCTATTCTGTTCCTGTTTTATCCCATTCTATTCTATTCTGTTCCTGTTCTATCCCATTCTATTCTATTCTGTTCCTGTTATATCCCATTCTATTCTATTCTGTTCCTGTTCTATCCCATTCTATTCTATTCTGTTCCTGTTCTATCCCATTCTATTCTATTCTGTTCCTGTTCTATCCCATTATATTATATTCTGTTCCTGTTCTATCCCATTCTATTCTGTTCCTGTTCTATCCCATTCTATTCTATTCTGTTCCTGTTATATCCCATTCTATTCTATTCTGTTCCTGTTTTATCCCATTATATTATATTATGTTCCTGTTTTATCCCATTCTATTCTATTGTGTTCCTGTTTTATCCCATTATATTATATTCTGTTCCTGTTCTATCCCATTATATTCTATTCTGTTCCTGTTCTATCCCATTATATTCTATTCTATCCCATTGTGGTCTAAGAGTTGCACAATATTTGTTTCTATCTGTAGTGTGAGGCCCAACATCTTCCTGGGAACCTGTGAAGGCTCTACTCAGTATAAGAAGTGGTACTTTGAGATGATGGTAGACTACGTTGAGCCCTTCGTGACAGCCACACCCTCTCACCTGCGTGTGGGCTGGGCCCTGACAGAGGGGTACTCACCCTATCCCGGGGGTGGAGAGGGCTGGGGGGGCAACGGGGTGGGGGATGACCTCTACTCATACGGCTTCGATGGACTGCACCTGTGGTCAGGTACGCTTTACTTCCTATTGTTATCATGTCAATGTTTTGCCTCGGGTTTATAATGTAAACGATATTTAGTCTACCTCACGTATAGCGTAAGACCAGGCTTCCATTCAGTCACTTGCAACACATATTGAAATGCGTTAGTAGCATTTTCATGGCAAATATGTATGGCTTGACAAAGATAGAAGAGTTGACTGCAGCACGTACAGTATGGAACCAGACCGCAGCACGTACAGTATGGAACCAGACCACAGCACGTACAGTATGGAACCAGACCACAGCACGTACAGTATGGAACCAGACCACAGCACGTACAGTATGGAACCAGACCACAGCACATACAGTATGGAACCAGACCACAGCACGTACAGTATGGAACCAGACCACAGCACGTACAGTATGGAACCAGACCACAGCACATACAGTATGGAACCAGACCACAGCACGTACAGTATGGAACCAGACCGCAGCACGTACAGTATGGAACCAGACCGCAGCACATTCAGTATGGAACCAGACCACAGCACGTACAGTATGGAACCAGACCACAGCACGTACAGTATGGAACCAGACCACAGCACGTACAGTATGGAACCAGACCGCAGCACATACAGTATGGACCAGACCACAGCACATACAGTATGGAACCAGACCACAGCACGTACAGTATGGAACCAGACCACAGCACGTACAGTATGGAACCAGACCACAGTACGTACAGTATGGAACCAGACCACAGCACGTACAGTATGGAACCAGACCGCAGCACATACAGTATGGACCAGACCACAGCACATACAGTATGGAACCAGACCACAGCACATACAGTATGGAACCAGACCACAGCACGTACAGTATGGAACCAGACCACAGCACGTACAGTATGGAACCAGACCACAGCACATACAGTATGGAACCAGACCACAGCACGTACAGTATGGAACCAGACCACAGCACGTACAGTATGGAACCAGACCACAGCACATACAGTATGGAACCAGACCACAGCACGTACAGTATGGAACCAGACCGCAGCACGTACAGTATGGAACCAGACCGCAGCACATTCAGTATGGAACCAGACCACAGCACGTACAGTATGGAACCAGACCACAGCACGTACAGTATGGAACCAGACCACAGCACGTACAGTATGGAACCAGACCGCAGCACATACAGTATGGACCAGACCACAGCACATACAGTATGGAACCAGACCACAGCACGTACAGTATGGAACCAGACCACAGCACGTACAGTATGGAACCAGACCACAGTACGTACAGTATGGAACCAGACCACAGCACGTACAGTATGGAACCAGACCGCAGCACATACAGTATGGACCAGACCACAGCACATACAGTATGGAACCAGACCACAGCACATACAGTATGGAACCAGACCGCAGCACGTACAGTATGGAACCAGACCGCAGCACATTCAGTATGGAACCAGACCGCAGCACATACAGTATGGAACCAGACCGCAGCACATTCAGTATGGAACCAGACCGCAGCACGTACAGTATGGAGCCAGACCACAGCACGTACAGTATGGAACCAGACCACAGCACGTACAGTATGGAACCAGACCACAGCACATACAGTATGGAACCAGACCACAGCACATACAGTATGGAACCAGACCGCAGCACATACAGTATGGACCCACATACAGTATGGAACCAACTGCAGCACATACAGTATGGAACCAGACTGCAGCACATACAGTATGGAACCAGACCACAGCACATACAGTATGGAACCAGACTGCAGCACATACAGTATGGAACCAGACCACAGCACATACAGTATGGAACCAGACCACAGCCCATACAGTATGGAACCAGACCGCAGCACATACAGTATGGAACCAGACCACAGCACATACAGTATGGAACCAGACCACAGCACATACAGTATGGCACCATACCACAGCACATACAGTATGGAACCAGACCACAGCACATACAGTATGGAACCAGACCGCAGCACATACAGTATGGAACCAGACCACAGCACATACAGTATGGAACCAGACCACAGCACATACAGTATGGAACCAGACCACAGCACATACAGTGTGGAACCAGACCGCAGCACATACAGTATGGAACCAGACCGCAGCACATACAGTATGGAACCAGACCACAGCACGTACAGTATGGAACCAGACCGCAGCACATACAGTATGGACCAGACCACAGCACATACAGTATGGAACCAGACCACAGCACGTACAGTATGGAACCAGACCACAGCACGTACAGTATGGAACCAGACCACAGCACGTACAGTATGGAACCAGACCACAGCATGTACAGTATGGAACCAGACCGCAGCACATACAGTATGGAACCAGACCACAGCACATACAGTATGGAACCAGACCGCAGCACATACAGTATGGAACCAGACCACAGCACATACAGTATGGAACCAGACCGCAGCACATACAGTATGGAACCAGACCGCAGCACATACAGTATGGAACCAGACCACAGCACGTACAGTATGGAACCAGACCGCAGCACATACAGTATGGACCAGACCACAGCACATACAGTATGGAACCAGACCACAGCACGTACAGTATGGAACCAGACCACAGCACGTACAGTATGGAACCAGACCACAGCACGTACAGTATGGAACCAGACCACAGCATGTACAGTATGGAACCAGACCACAGCACGTACAGTATGGAACCAGACCACAGCACGTACAGTATGGAACCAGACCGCAGCACATACAGTATGGAACCAGACCACAGCACATATAGTATGGAACCAGACTAGTATTTCAGTTGTCCCCTGACTCCTCCCCTCTCCCCTCCAGGTCACGTCCCCCGCCAGGTGGCGTCGCCCAATCAGCATGCCCTGGCAGCTGATGATGTCGTGTCGTGCTGTCTGGATCTGAGCGTGCCCAGTATCTCGTTCCGTGTCAACGGCCACCCGGTCCAGGGCATGTTCGAGAACTTCAACGTAGATGGACTGTTCTTCCCCGTCATCAGCTTCTCTGCTGGAGTCAAGTAAGATGGAATAATATATATTATAATATAATATATAACAATATGGGGGATAGACTTGATTGATTAATTGATTGATATTTTGCCTACCTAAGGTGAATGTGCTCGTGGTAAATAGCTCTGGATGAGGTGTAATGTTGACCAGACAGCCAGACAGACAGTTAATGATGAGAGTAAAGGGGAGATGGCCGGGGACCAGGGACTCAGCAGCACCAGGGCTCAATGCGCTTCTGATCCTGAGACTTACAGAAAGAGTCTGGTCAGGTCTCGTGTTCATGCAAAACTCCTGGCCCTATAAATGATCCCACCGTATATCCTGTCTCCTGACCCTTAAGATGACCCCACTGTATTTCCTGGCCCTTAAAATCACCCCACTGTATTTCCTGGCCCTTAAAATGACCCCACTGTATTTCCTGGCCCTTAAAATCACCCCACTGTATTTCCTGGCCCTTAAAATGACCCCACTGTTTTTCTTGGCCCTTAAAATGACCCCACTGTATTTCCTGTCTCCTGGCCCTTATAATGACCCCACTGTTTTACCTGTCTCCTGGCCCTTAAAATGACCCCACTGTTTTACCTGTCTCCTGGCCCTTAAAATGACCCTACTGTTTTTCCTGGCCCTTAAAATAACCCCACTGTATTTCCTGTCTCCTGGCCCTTAAAAATGACCCCACTGTTTTACCTGTCTCCTGGCCCTTAAAATGATCCCACTGTATTTCCTGTCTCCTGGCCCTTAAAATGACCCCACTGTTTTTCCTCGCCCTTAAAATGACCCCACTGTATTTCCTGTCTCCTCAGAGCTCGTTTACTGTTGGGTGGTCGCCATGGAGACTTTAAGTTCCTGCCCCCCCCGGGCTATGCCCCGTGCTACGAGGCTCTGCTACCCAAGGAAAGGATGAGGATCGAACCCATCAAGGAGTACAAACACGACTTTGACGGAGTCCGAAACTTGCTGGGGCCAACCCAGTCCCTCACACACACCTCCTTTACCCCCAATCCCGTAGACACTGTTCAGGTAAGACACACACCCTGTCCCTAGCCCGAACCCTGTTCAGGTACCAAATAAGGCTGTCCATTTACTCCTCTTCCCTTTGATCTGCGGACCTCTGACCTTTAACCTTTACCCTGTGTGTGCTCCAGATCGTGTTGCCGCCCCACCTGGAGAAGATCAGGGAGAAGCTGGCAGAGAACATCCATGAGCTGTGGGCCATCACCCGCATCGAGCAGGGCTGGACTTATGGAATAGTGAGTCTGCTACCCTTAACGGACAGAAAATACTGCTACAGCAACGCTTGGATAGTGGCACTGATCACCGGGCAGACATGGAAAAAGGCACCCTATGGGCCCTGGGGCCCTGGTCATGTAATAACCCTGTCTGTCTGTTTCCTCCCTCCTCCAGTTCAGAGACGACAACAAGAAGCTGCATCCCTGTCTGGTAGACTTCCAGACCCTTCCGGAACCTGAGAGGAACTACAACCTGCAGATGTCTGGTGAAACACTCAAGTAATAATATAATATAATAATATAATAATATAATGTAATATAATAATATAATATAATGTAATGTAATATAATAATATAATATAATGTAATATAATAATATAATAATATAATGTAATATAATCTCCCTCTCCTGTCCTGTCCTCTCCTCCTCTCCTCTTTGTCTGTCAATCTCCTCACTCTCATGTTCTGTCCTGTCTCTCATCCTCTCCTCTCCTGTCCTCTGCTCCTCTCCTCCTGTCCTGTCTCTTCTCCTCTCCTGTCCTCTCCTGTCCTCCCTGTCCTCTCCTCCTCTCCTCCTGTCCTGTCCCTCTCCTCCTCTCCTGTCCTCTCCTCCTCTCCTCCTGTCCTGTCCTCTCCTCCTCTCCTCTCTCCTGTCCTCTCCTCTCTCCTCCTCTCCTGTCCTCTCCTCCTCTCCTGTCCTCTCCTCCTCTCCTCCTCTCCTGTCCACTCCTCCTCTCCTGTCCTCTCCTCCTCTCCTCAGTAATGTCATGTCTGACTCTCACGGGCGAACTACAACCAGTGGATGTCTGGGAAAACACTGAACTCAGTGTCCCTGTCCTTAGTTGTCTACTGCTTCCAGCTGTGTCGTACGCCCTGACAATAATAGATGTGCTGAGCCCTTGGCTGGTTTCCCATAGCCAGAGAATGTCAAATGAAAGTGCCTTTTAGTCCAGGAATAATGTAAAGGTAATGTAACGTAAAGGTCCCCAGTCAGTTGGTCTGTAAAGTGTGTATCCCTGTGTGTGTAAAGGTCTCCAGTTTGTTTGTAGTGTGTGTATCCCTGTGTGTGTAAAGGTCTCCAGTTTGTTTGTAGTGTGTGTATTCCTGTGTCGGTCCCCAGTTGGTCTGTAATGTGTCTAATGTGTGTCTCTGTGTCGGTCCCCAGTTGGTCTGTAATGTGTCTAATGTGTGTATCTTTGTGT